AGGAATTTGAGGCAGCCAAGATGTTGTATCTATCTCGCCAAATCAACAGTTTGCAGCTGTTTGTCGAGGAGAATGATTTGGTGAGGAAGTCCGCTTGTTGGCAAGCATCAGATGAGAGTGATTTGCATGACTTTCCTGTGCTGGACGAGGATCAGCTTCGGAACATCACGTGTGGTACATACCAACTAAAACTTAGTTCCAGTTACATACAAGAACACATTGACGGGGAAAGCGATATATATATTCACAAAGAAGATCGTGGTTTTATTCGTGTGAAAATACAGAGCCGACATACCTCATCAAAAAAGTACCTCTTGTGGATAAAGTACAACAAAGTGAACATCGAATCATGGTACTGCAAATGTCGTGCGGGCGCGAGAGTAGTAGGTGTTTGCTCGCACATCGCAGCAATCATATGGTATCTTGGAAAAGCACGGCATTCGGAATGTCAGTCGCACGGTGTTTGTGACTGGGGAAAAAGTGTGCTCGATGTGCAATCCATTCCAGAAATTGCCGATGCATCTGACAGTGAAAGTTGTTCAAGTGTTATCGAAGAGTAATTTCTAGGAAACATTGTCCTCCTTGCTACAACTGTGTATCACACATATTGTGTATTATAGGTATAATGTACATTAAGGTTTGGCAGAAGAAAATGCTTTCCCATTTACATTACTGTTAGGAAGAAACATATATTTCTACATCATGTAAACTCATATTTAACATTGCAAAATGATCACAAAAATCTGTAAAAGTGTTACCTATCAACATGTACCTTTCCTTCAATTTTTAAAAACATTTATGGGTTATTTTTCATGAAACATGTACACTCAGATGGCATTTTTATATATTTGATTAAACTCGTGCTGAAAACCCATTTTTACTGTCTCCTATTTAGTGCGCTATGGTATAAATATGGTTGCTATGGACATTTTTGGTAATAAAATGACAATACCAAATTATTTTTGTCTTCTTATCAAAATACGCTTCAATGACAATTATTAGATCAGCATTTCCAGGTCTAAAAATGTTAAACTGAAACGAAAAAAAAAAAATAAGAAGGAAATCTGTACATTTCGCCGTCAACATAATCGACGTTGCTAGGGCAGTTGCTAAGGAATGCAAATCCAAATTGATAAAAAAACCTATGTTTTAAACCTATTCCCATTCATACAAGTATGTGGAATAAATATGAAAAAAATTCAAGACAGGGCCAAAAATGACCCTTCGTGAATCTACTCCTTTGGTCTGGAGCATCCTTAGGCCAAGGGGACTCAATTTTATATAAATGGTGGGTCTGGCCCCCCTGGGGGCTGAGGGGCGGGGCCCAATAGGGGAAATATAGCAAAATCTTTAAAATCCTTCTTCTTCTGTAGGAATGAAAGGATTTCGTCCATATTTGATCTGAAGCATTCTTGGGTGAAGGGGAACCAATTTTGTATAAACCGTAGGTCTGGCCCACCTGGGGGCTGAGAAGCGGGGCCAAATAGGGGAAATATAGCAAATTCTTTAAAATCCTTCTTCTTCTGCAGGAATGAAAGGATTTGGTCCATATTTTGTCTGAAGCATTCTTGGGTGAAGGGGAACCAATTTTGTATAAACCGTGGGTCTGGCCCCCCGGCCCCTGGGGGCTGAGGGACGGGGCCAAATAGGGGAAATATAGCAAATTCTTTAAAACCCTTCTCCTTCTGTAGGAATGAAAGGATTTGTTCCATATTTGGTCTGAAGAATCCTTGGGTGAAAGGGGACCAATTTTGTATAAACCGTGGGTCTGGCCCCCCGGCCCCTGAGGGGTGGGGCCCAATAGGAGAAACTTAGCAAATTATTCTTTAAAATCCTTCTTCATCTGTAGGAATGAAAGGATTTGTTCCATATTTGGTCTGAAGAATCCTTGGGTGAAGAGGAACCAACTTTGTATAAACAGTGGGTCTGGCCCCCCTCTGGGCATAGGGGTTGGGCTCCATTTGAAGTTTGTTCTCGCTATATCTCAAGACTCCTGGATGGATCTTTCTGAAATTCATATGTACTTACAGCACTTACCTTGGAGTGCTATATCTATGTTATACCAATTATTTTACACATATTCAGGTGAGCGATACAGGCCCTCTGGGCCTCTTGTTGTATAAACGTGGGTCTGGCCCCCCAGGGGCCTGAGGGGTGGGGCCCAATAGGGGAAACATAGCAAATTATTCTTTAAAATCCTTCTTCTTCTGTAGGAATGAAAGGGTTTGGTCCATGTTTGGTGTGGAGCATCTTTACGAATGTACGAATGGCATGATTTTGTCCAAAATTGGTTTGAAGCATCCTTGGATGAAGGGGACCAATTTTTTATTATGGGGGTCTGGCCCCCCAGGGGCCTGAGGGGCCGGGCTCAAGAGGGGAAATATAGCAAATTCTTTAAAATCCTTCTTCTGTAGATTGAAAGGATTTGGGCTGAAGCATCCTTGGATGAAGGGGAACCAATTTTGTATAAATTCCCTGGAGTCAGAGACGCGGGGCCCAATAGGGGAAATAGAAGTAAAACCTTTAAAATCCTTCTACCATAGGGATTAAGAGATTTTTTTCCTAATTTTGTCTGGAGCATCCTTGGGCCAAGGGGACTCAATTTTGTATAAGCAGTCGGTGTGGTCTCCCAGGGGGCAGAAGGGCGGGGCCCAATAGGAGAAATAGAGGTAAAACCTTTAAAATCCTTCTTTGACCATCGGGATTAAGGGATTTTATTGGTATTTTAATAACATACTTATTGAGAAATCATGTCATTAAATTCCTGTACATGTGTACAGTACAGCTACCCTTTGTAGATAAGACATCATTTTAAAAGATCATCATGAACAGTATATAATGATTGTATCATGTGTATACGATAAACAATATGCAGTAGCCCTTTTTCCTGTCCGTTTCTGCCCGTTCCTATAAATCGTCGAACCCCCAGTTGGAGAATGGATTTGTTATTAAAAATAACCCAAATTGCTAACAGTAACTTTTGCAATATATTATTAAAAATCACATTTATTTACGACAATTCAAGGTAAACAATATTTTGCTAAAAGATGTTTACTGAAAGCGTTGGCTACTAATTAGAAACTGATCTACCGGAAGTATTGCATCTATTTTTGATACTTTCCTACATGGAAATAAATTTTATATTTGCATTTGTATGATGTTTCATGACTTAATAAATGCGACTTGGACAAACAATTTGAAAAAGTTAAGATTAAAGTGATTTTGGCTATTTAATGTAACAAATACATACCCCAATTGGCGTATAATAGGGGAGTTTGCGTATTATACGCAAGTAAGCGGTTTTTCCCGACCTGATATATGGGTAATAATGTATCCCACATGTATGCTCAGGTTCTGGAATATATGTGATATTAGTCAGGTATCTCACATCAGTGATTGGTTTCTTGGATGTATATTTACAGTTGAGCTGCAATCCACTATATGAACATTACCAGCAGAAATGCATTTCATTTGAGTATGAAAGCAAAAACTTGTGACGTAAAATGTCGTTTACTTATGACTTATACTTCAAATAACATGGAGAATGCCCCTGCGTCAAACGCTCAAATGACTACGGTTAATTATTGGCGCCAATTTAATTTAAATAGGGCTGTTCCGCGAATGTCATTTAAAGGACGAGGCACTGTATAGTAATATACAAAACGCATTAAATAAATCATTTAAGAACAAATAAATAAAATTAAACAATTGTTCTATAGTAAAAATGTAAAATATATGGATTGAATAATGTTGGTCCGTCCGCCGTCCGTCCTTAAACAATTCTTGTTATCGGTATTTCTCAAGAAACACCTGAGGGATCTTTCTCAATTTTTATATGTAGGTTCCCTTTGATCCTAAGCTGTGCAGGGCAACTTTTGAGACTGATCGGATAAACAACATGGCCGACAGGCAGCCATTTCGGATTTTGATAGTGAAAGTTTGTTATCGCTATTTCTCAAGAAGTACAAGAGGAAACCTTCTCAAATTTTATATGTAGGTTCCCCTTGATCTTTAGCTCTGCAGGGCAACTTTTGAGACTGATCGGATAAAAAACATGGCCGACAGGAAGCCATCTTGGATTTTGATATTGAAAGTTTATCGCTATTTCTCAAGAAGCACCTGAGGGATCTTTCTCAAATTTTAAATGTAGGGTGCCCTTAGTCCAAAGCTGTGCAGGGCAACTTTTGAGACTGATCGGATAAACAACATGGCCTACAGGCAGCCAACTTGGATTTTGATAGTGAAAGTTTGTTATCACTATTTCTCAAGAAGCACCAGAGGGATCTTTCTCAAATTTTATATGTAGGTTCCCTAGAAGTACCAGAGGGCTCTTTCTCAAATTTCATATGTAGATTCCCCTTGGTCTTAAGCTGTGCAGGGCAACTTTTGAGACTGATTGGATAAACAACATTGCCGACAGGAAGCCATCTTGGATTTTGATAGGGAAAGTTTGTTATCAGGAAGTACAGGAGGGATCTTTCTCAAATTTTAAATGTAGGTTCCCCTTGATCCCTCGTTGTGCATGTTATATTTTGAGACTGATCATAAAAACAAAATGGATTAAAAGAAGAACTAAACAGATCTTTCTCATATTGCAATGATCGATTCTATTTCTTTCACGTTAAGTACTGTAATAGTAAATATGTGAAATGACAAACTCACTTTGAAGGTTGGCTTTCATACACATCAGTATTAAGTTTAGATCAAAAGTTACCTCAAGGTGCATTTACTGTTAACATGACTCGGTCAAACAGGTTAGAGGAAAGAAGAGAAAAGATCGAACTGACAAAGAACTAATGAAGATGGTACAAAGGTGGGCGCCAAGATCCCTCTGGGATATCTTGTTTAAAAACTGCTGTTAAATCCCTATGTGAAATATATTAAGTTTACTTGGTATACTTCGGTATGAAATGTTTGAAAAAAATAAATCATAATAGTGACATCAGTCAAAATACATTTTAACTTGTTATATATTGTTTGGAATTTAACTAATATTTCAGACCATGATGACCGTTGGGTAGACCATGACAACAACAATGATCAAGGAAGAGGTGGACGTGGAGGAGGAAAGTTTCCTTACAGAGGAAAGAGTCGAGGCCGTGGAAACGGTGGATTTTACTCTCGTGGTAGTCGTGGTAGCTATCGCAACAAGTACACCTCAAACAGTCGCCCCTACAACAACAGGGGTAAGTATTCACTAGAGCTACTACATATACTGTAAATATTGTAAAGAAACATTAGACCAAGGGAGGGACACAACTTGAGGTCCAGTAAAGCGTTCTGGGCTTTTATTACAAATGTTGAGGTTTCAATTTCCAAATTCCATTTTCATTTTCTGTTCCTGGGCAGTACACAAAAAATACTGCGATAGACAGAAAAATTTTCTTGATATTAATCAAACACAACATCGGGAGGGATGTCAAATGATTGAAGCTATCAGTAAATGATATATACATAATTAACTGGCCCACCAGACTTACTGTTTTGGAGTCATTGACTGAGATCACTGGTCCATCATTTAATCTACAATGCATTGGCCAGGAGTTATTTTGATGGTGACCCACTTGTCAAAAACATAATGTCATAATATTATTTACTTGAGTAATTAAAGCTATCCTAATACTTTTTTAGGTCACCTGAGACAAAGTCTCAAGTGACCTATTGCGATCGCCTTTTGTCCGTCGTCGTCCTTCGTCCGTCATGCGTCCGTAAACAATTTACATTTTCAACTTCTTCTCCAAAATCCCTGAACCAATTTCAATGAAATTTTGCAGGGACCTTCCTTGGACAAAGGTCAACAAAAATAGTTGCCGGTTTAGTCCTAAGCCCCCAGGGGCCTGAGGGGCGGGGCCAAAAAGGGTCAAATTGACTAAAATTTCAAAAATCTTCTTCTCAAGACCCAGATATGGTAGAATCAAATACTCTTCATAGATGGAAGGGTCTTAAGGTGCTTTACCGAAATTGTGAATTTCTTGACCCTGGGGTCTCACGTTTCCCCCTGGGGAGGGGGTAAACTTTACTATAGTTTATATAGGGAAATCACATTTTGGACCAACATTTGTTTAATTTCCATTGGAAGTAATTCAATTTGGGTTAGCATTATCAGTATTAGGTAGCAGTTTGATAGTATGCACCTATGAGCCCTGACTGACCCCCAGGGGCTGATGGGTGGGGCCAAAAAGGGTTGAATTGACTGAAATTTCAAAAATCTTCTTCTCAAGACCCAGATATGGTAGAATCAAATACTCTTCATAGATGGAAGGGTCTTAAGGTGCTTTACCGAAATTGTGAATTTCTTGACCCTGGGGTCTCACGTTTCCCCCTGGGGAGGGGGTAAACTTTACTATAGTTTATATAGGGAAATCACATTTTGGACCAACATTTGTTTAATTTCCATTGGAAGTAATTCAATTTGGGTTAGCATTATCAGTATTAGGTAGCAGTTTGATAGTATGCACCTATGAGCCCTGACTGACCCCCAGGGGCTGATGGGTGGGGCCAAAAAGGGTTGAATTGACTGAAATTTCAAAAATCTTCTTCTCAAGACCCAGATATGGTAGAATCAAATACTCTTCATAGATGGAAGGGTCTTAAGGTGCTTTACCAAAATTGTGAATTTCTTGACCCTGGGGTCTCACGTTTTCCCCTGGGGAGGGGGTAAACTTTACTATAGTTTATATAGGGAAATCACATTTTGGACCAACATTTGTTTAATTTCCATTGGAAGTAATTCAATTTAGGTTAGCATTATCAGTATTAGTTAGCAGTTTGATATTATGCACATATCAGCCCTGACTGACCCCCGGGACTGATGGGTGGGACCAAAAAGGGTCAAATTGACTGATATTTCAAAAATCTTCTTCTCAAGACCCAGATATGGTAGAAACAAATACTCTTCATAGATGGAAGGGTCTTAAGGTGCTTTACAAAAATTGTGAATTTCTTGACCCTGGGGTCTCATGTTTTCCCCTGGGGAGGGGGTAAACTTTACTATAGTTTATATAGGGAAATCTCATTTTGGACCAACATTTGTTTAATTTCCATTGGAAGTAATTCAATTTAGGTTAGCATTATCAGTATTAGGTAGCAGTTTGATAGTATGCACATATCAGCCCTGACTGACCCCCCGGGGCTGATGAATGGGGCCTAAAAGGGTTGAATTGACTGAAATTTCAAAAAAAATCTTCTCAAGACCGAGATATGGTAGAATCAAACAGTCTCCATAGATTGAAGAGTCTTAGTCTTAAGGTTTATGACCCTAGGGTCTCACGTTTAGACCCTGGGGAAGGAAGAGTGGGGGGGGCGCAAAATTTATTATGGTTTATAATGGCAAATGATACTTTGAATATTACATTTTGAGCCAGCCCTACCCCCAAGGGCCGTAGGGTGGGGCCCGAAGGAGTCAGTGTGCTAAAATTTCTTCATTTTCCTTGTTTAGAATCAGAGGTGCTAGTTTCAAATACTTTTTAGTCTTAAATCTGTATGCTAGATATTGAATAAGGTGGTTTTATTGTTTTTTGTCACTTTGAATAATATTTCTGTTCATGTTAAAAACAAAATCAACTCTCGACATAAATATATCAGGTGACCGTTAAAGCCCATGGGCCTCTTGTTCAAATATAATACAATTACTTGAATTAGTGGTTAATGTTTAAATCTTGGATACATCTTTTTGGGGCTGCGGTGGCCAAGTGGTAAAGGTGTCTGACGTTCTGCTACCACTAGCCCTCCACCACTGGGTTACGAGTTTGAGGCCACATTCTGCTGCCATTAGCCCTTCACCACTGGGTTACGAGTTCGAGGCCACATTCTGCTACCACTAGCCCTCCACCACTGAGTTACGAGTCTGAGGCCACATTCTGCTACCCCTAGCCCTTCACCACTGGGTTACGAGTCTGAGGCCACATTCTGCTACAAAAAGCCCTTCACCACTGGGTTACGAGTCTGAGGCCACATTCTGCTACCCCTAGCCCTTCACCACTGGGTTACGAGTTTGAGGCAACATTCTGCTGCCATCAGCCCTTCACCACTGGGTTACGAGTTTTATGCCACATTCTGCTACCACTAGCCCTTCACCACAGAGTTATGAGTGTGAGGCCACATTCTGCTACCACTAGCCCTTCAGCACTGGGTTGCGAGTTTGAGGCCACATTCTGCTACCATTAGCCCTTCACCACTGGGTTACGAGTTTTATGCCACATTCTGCTACCACTAGCCCTTCACCCCTGGGTCGCAAGTCTGAGGCCACATTCTGCTACCATTAGCCTTTCACCACTGGATTACGAGTCTGAGACCACATTCTGCTACCACTAGCCCTTCAGCACTGGGTTGCGAGTTTGAGGCCACATTCTGCTACCATTAGCCTTTCACCACTGGATTACGAGTCTGAGACCACATTCTGCTACCACTAGCCCTTCACCACTAGGTCGCGAGTTTGAGGCCACATTCTGCCACCACTAGCCCTTCACCACTGGGTTACAAGTCTGAGGCCACATTCTGCTACCATTAGCCCTTCACCACTGGGTTACGAGTTTGTGGCCACATTCTGATACCACTAGCCCTTCACCACTGGGTTATGAGTCTAAGGCCTACATGGGGCAGTCGCCAGGTACTGGCTGTAAGTCGGTGGCTTTCATCCTCCACCAAAACCTAGCACGTCCTGAAATGACCATAGCTGTTAACAGGACGTACGTAAAACTCAAATTTAGGCCACATTCTGCTACAAATAGCCCTTCACCACTGGGTTACGAGTCTAAGGCCACATTCTGCTACCACTAGCCCTTCAGCACTGGGTTGCGAGTTTGAGGCCACATTCTGCTACCATTAGCCCTTCACCACTGGGTTACGAGTTCGAGGCCACATTCTGCTACCACTAGCCCTTTACCACTGGGTCGCGAGTTTGAGGCCACCTTCTGCTACCACTAGCCCTCCACCACTGGGTTACGAGTCTGTGGCCACATTCTGCTACCACTAGCCCTTTACCACTGGGTCGCGAGTTTGAGGCCACCTTCTGCTACGACTAGCCCTCCACCACTGGGTTACGAGTCTGAGGACACATTCTGCTACCACTAGCCCTTCACCAATGGGTTACGAGTTTTAGGCCACATTCTGCTACTACTAGCCCTTCACCACTGGTCGTGAGTTTGAGGCCACATTCTGCTACCACTAGACCTTCAGCACTGGGTCGCGAGTTTGAGGCCACATTCTGCTACCACTGGCCCTTCACCACTGGGTTACGCGTTTGAGGCCACATTCTGCTACCACTAGCCCTCCACCACTGAGTTACGAGTCTGAGGCCACATTCTGCTCCCACAAGCCCTTCACCACTGGGTTACGAGTCTAAGGCCACATTCTGCTACCACTAGCCCTCCACCACTGGGTTAGGAGTCTGAGGCCACATTCTGCTACCACAAGCCCTCCACCACTGGATTACGAGTCTGAGGCCACATTCTGCTACAACAAGCCCTTCACCACTGGGTTACGAGTCTAAGGCCACATTCTGCTACCACTAGCCCTTTACCACTGGGTCGCGAGTTTGAGGCCACCTTCTGCTACGACTAGCCCTCCACCACTGGGTTACGAGTTTGATGCAACATTCTGCTACCACTAGCCCTTCACCCCTGGGTCGCGAGTTTGAGGCCACCTTCTGCTACGACTAGCCCTCCACCACTGGGTTACGAGGCTGAGGCCACATTCTGCTACCACTAGCCCTCACTGGTAAGTTACGAGTCTGAGGCCACATTCTGCTCCCACAAGCCCTTCACCACTGGGTTACGAGTCTAAGGCCACATTCTGCTACCACTAGCCCTCCACCACTGAGTTACGAGTCTGAGGCCACATTCTGCTCCCACAAGCCCTTCACCACTGGGTTACGAGTCTAAGGCCACATTCTGCTACCACTAGCCCTTCACCACTGAGTTATGAGTCTAAGGCCTACATGGGGCAGTCGCCAGGTACTGGCTGTAGGTCGGTGGCTTTCATCCTCCACCAAAACCTAGCACGTCCTGAAATGACCATAGCTGTTAACAGGACGTACGTAAAACTCAAATAAACCAAAATCCTTCCAAAGTTGAATTATTGCAATGTTCCAAGGTTCAATTCAAGCCTTACTAATTAATTCTTAGTGATGGGCAATTAATTTAAAATCATAATCAATAATCGGTTTGTAATCGGAAGTAGTAAACGGATCGATGATCGATTGCATAATCCGTTTATAATTTTATGGGATTGAATACCCAAATTTAGCTAGAACACTATTGTTTCATCAATAGACATGAGTTGTTCAGTAGGTTTCGTTCTTTTATTATGTATGGCTATCAAGCAAATTTTATGCATTTTTATCAATCATGTAGTATAAATCATAAGAATATATGACTTTCAAAGCATACTTTACATGGAAGACATTTACATACTTTGATTTCAATAATGAACTGATTATGGAATTTGTAATCGATAATCGGAATAGGAAAGGGCAACCGATCGATTTTCGATTATAATTGATCATCAGCCCATCACTATTAATTCCATTATTCAATTTATGAAAAGTCGTACTCGGGACATGTCTCTTAAAAAGAAAGGCAGTGTAATACCTATAATTCTATTGGTGAATTTTGCATATATTCCAGGCAGAGGAAGTTCACGTGGCAATTACAAAGGAGGAGGTGCAGGTCCTCGGGACAGACTAGACGACGAAGGAGACTGTGATATGGACAATGATGGGTCAGGGTCTTCAAGATTGTGAGTAATTAAAATTAAGTCTTTATTTTAATAAGCTTTATTTTATCAAGAATATTTTTAAAGATTTGATTTGGTTTGCTTGTGTTTTACGTCCTTTCAACAGCTATGGTCATTTAAGGACGTGCCAGGTTTTTGTGGTGAAGGAAAGCTGCAGTTTTGACGAAAAACCACTGACCTATGGCCAGTACACCCTGTTTTTAAAGAAGATTCCTGATTATATAAAGCTGATTAAAACCAAAAATCCCACAAAACAATAGAAATTATATTAATTTTGAATACAAGCAAAAGTCAGAAGCTTGTATTAAGTAAGACGACACAGTTATGATTTTACATCCATTTTCAGCTCTCCATATGGTCGACCAGATCGACGTGGCTCCAGAAATGCAAGGGGAGATTATTCAAGCCGAGGTAATAACATTTATTGGTAAACCGATTTTGTTGTTAAGGGCCAAGTGAGCCTATGCATGCTGTTGCATCTTTTGTATGTCCTTTCATTGTCAATTTTCTTTTTCAAGCAACTTCTTATTAATTAATAGGACTTGGCCCCAGTGGTTGTAATATTTGGCCAATAGCATGCTGTAATGAAGAGCTGTCAACTTGGTTCAAATGAGTAACCTTGACTTGAATGCATGCAATGTATGAAACATTTAAGTTACAAGCTAATAAGTAATTGAGTGCATTTCATGGTTAACTGATATGGTTGTTTCAGGAGACAGTCGGCGAGGAAGTGGTGGATATTCTAGTGGTGGCGGAAGATTTTATAACAATGGGCCCCAGTGGTACAAAGTTACGGTATGTACAATACAGACTAAGATTTATAGATCCTTGACTTATTGGATCAAAGTGTGGATCAAAACCCCTATATATGTAGAAAATTGTTTCTATCACTGATTTGTTTGAAAGTGTGGACACTGAAGCTTATCCTGAAATGGCATACACTTATGGTCAAATCATGACATACCAGAAAATAAGAAAGGAAAGGTATAGTGAATCAAACCAAATGCAAATAATCACATTACATCTGCATCGTTTTTAAATGAGTCATGATGTCTCTAGGTATATAACAGCTAATTAAGTGTTGTCATTGACCACCATCTTACTCTGATTTGATTTACTTACTACTCAAAAATAAATGTTCTCTTGTAGGTTTTTGTATTGCTCTGAAAATAGGCAAATTAAAGGTAAAATTGTAGGACGAAAGATATTGAGAAATGAAGAATATAAAGGTGTAACATTTAATAATAGTCTGGGATTGTCTTCCACAGATACCAAAAGGAAAGAAGTCTGGAAAATCAGTGCTACTTCAGTTGATTAATGAAAACATACATACTCCATTTCTCCCGCAAAATGTAAGTATCAGTTTTATACTGGACTGTGTAGTCAAGTCTTAATGGTCTGTTTAGAATAACCTGATATAAACACCATTAAGTGTTGTATAACAATTGCAAGCTTTACTTGGTGGAGTAAATATAGATCATCTGAAAGTATGTGTCAACATGAGTGCATTTAAACAAGTTTTCTAAAAAACAATCATGCTTATCTTAATGATGTTAAAAAAAAAAAAATCGTCATAATGTCTCTATGTATAAATTAAGTGTATGAATTCTGTAAGAAATGAAATACCAGGTAAATGTTCAAACCCCATTAGAGATGGAGCTGAACTTCAGGATCATTTGTTGGAAGAAAGTCTCTGACCACTGGGAAGTCAGGATCTCTCATTCCTGATGGAGGTCGCTCTCCACATTGATCACAGAATGAAATTCGCTGACATTTAGTAAATCAGGATCTGTCATTCCCAATGGAGGTCACACTCTAGCCTACAGTGTAGTTCATGTAAGCTAAATGTCAGTGACTAGCACATGGAAAATGTATTGATGGTAACTGATGTTTGTGCTAATGTTTGAAACAGGTAGAAAATATTATGAAATTGAGCGATGTGTGCAAAAGTCGATGTCATAATGCAATAGTAAAGTCCTTTTGTTATATTCTAGTTCCACTTCGAACAAGACAGCGCAGTATTCCATATACAAGACAAGGATGCAGCTGATGCAGTCCGTGCTCAGAGTCAAAGACACACACTGCCAAATGGATTCAAGGTAGATATATTTTATTGAACGTTAGTAGTATAGGTATTATATTTTATTCCTAATTGTGATGTTATTGTAACATTTTCTCATTGGAGCAGTTGTTAATTATGAAGCATTCAAAATGCAGGCCCTATAAGTCTTTTTTTGTTGAAAATTGTGAACATATTTGTTGTTGTTTACAGATGATTATTATTGTGAAGCCTTCGTCTCCTCCAACTAACTACATTGACAAAGGCACAGTAGAAAAACTAAAGGTACAAAGTTGTGTATATTTTAAAAACTTTATTTATCAGAACGAGAGAAATTAACATGTTAATGTAAATTTAAAAAGGCGAAAAAAAATGATGATAGCTCTTTACCCACAATTAGTTTCCACTGTCTATAGTGAGCTAGTGAATCAGTTGTTGACATGTAGAACCAGCAATTTCAGCATGTAGCTATACTGGCTGTAGCTGTAGCTATACTGGCTGTAGCTATATTGGCTGTAGCTGTAGCTATACTGGCTGTAGCTATAGCTATACTGGCTGTAGCTATACTGGCTGTTGCTGTAGCTATACTGGCTGTAGCTATACTGGCTTTAGCTGTAGCTATACTGGCTGTAGCTGGAGCTATACTGGCTGTAGCTATACTGGCTGTAGCTGTAGCTATATTGGCTGTAGCTATACTGGCTGTAGCTATACTGGCTTTAGCTGTAGCTATACTGGCTGTAGCTGGAGCTATACTGGCTGTAGCTATACTGGCTGTAGCTATACTGGCTTTAGCTGTAGCTATACTGGCTGTAGCTGGAGCTATACTGGCTGTAGCTATACTGGCTGTAGCTGTAGCTATTCTGGCTATAGCTATACTGGCTGTAGCTGTAGCTCTACTGGCTGTAGCTATACTGGCTGTAGCTGTAGCTGTAGCTATACTGGCTGTAGCTACATGTATGCTCAAAATGTGCAACAACGTGTCTGTAATAGGTTACGTTCATCGTAGAGGGGATTGAGCAGCAAAAACACATTCACAGATGTCAAGACAGTTTTTGGAAAAAAGTAAATTGTTAATGTAATTTTTTTTTAAATATACCAGCATAAGTATTCACATCCATGTGTGTTGCTAAGAATATTAACAAATCTTAAATAAATATTTAAGTGTTGAAAGATTCAATTGTTATATTGTGAAAACTATAAGATATATCTACATTATTATAACTATCTGTTTATGTTACCAGGCGGCCATGAGTCGGAGATATGACTCCAGTGCTAAGCTGTTGGACCTCAGTAACCTGTACCAGGACTCCGGTAATGTATTAATACCACCAAATTACAAACATTTTCTGTGATGGAAATTATTTCAGGAACAAATCTTTCCAAAAGTGTTTTACAATTTTCATTGACAAAATATGAAATATACCTTTGTGACGGAACACATTGTCACCACAAGATGATGCACTTTGTTCACTATTAACTCATTCAACCCTGAAATTTCATAATGAATTATTCCACTCTTTGAATTGGAGGAGTTCAAATGTGTCTTCAGGGGTGAATGAGTTAAAGACCCTTTTGCTAGGGCTATGGTTGAAATTAGAGGTCAATGTTCAAGTGATAAAATGTGTCTTCTGGATTATAAAAGATTGTAACTATATATGGAACATTATAATATTTATCATCTGTAACCAGTAGATTAAGATAAACAAAATCTGTGACATCAGTAGATAATAAATGTCACATCAGTTCTTATGTTTGTCAGAATCACATCTTCTTAACTTCAGGACTAAATGAAGTCCTAAATGATAGGACTAAATGAAGTCCTAAATGTCAGGACTAAATGAAGTCCTAAATGTCAGGATTAAATGAAGTCTTAAATGTCCCTGACATGTCCACATATACCGTAATAATGCATCAGTTTGTGCCTTAAAATCAGTAGTCCATACATGCAATGTTTGCAAATCATTCTTGGTGTATGGTGTTAAGTTTTGGGACCTTAAGACTGAACCACATGATACACGACAGGGCAATGACAAAACTTTGAATTGTATTGTGGTGAAGTGTTGTTGAGTTGTGAATACATTGTGATGAAGCTTTCGTGTGGTATGGATTGTGATATATGTTGTTGAGTTGTGAATACATTTTGATGAAGCTTTCGTGTTGTAGGGATTGTGATATATGGTGTTGAGTTGTGAATACCCCCCGATGAAGCTTTCGTGTGGTATGGATTGTGATATATGTCGTTGGGTTGTGAATACATTATGATGGAGCTTTTGTATTGTATGGGTTGTGATATATGTTGTTCAGTTGTGAATACATTGTGATGAAACTTTCGTGTTGTATGGATTGTTGTGAATACATTATGATGAATCTTTCGTGTTGAAGGGATTGTGATATATGGTGTTGAGTTGTGAATACCCCCCGATGAAGCTTTCGTGTGGTATGGATTGTGATATATGCTGTTGAGTTGTGAATACATTGTGATGAAGCTTTCGTGTTGTATGGATTGTGGTATATGTTGTTGAGTTGTGAATACATTATGATGAAGCTTTTGTATTGTATGGATTGTGGTATATGTTGTTGAGTTGTGAATACATTGTGATGAAGCTTTCGAGTTGTATAGATTGTGATATATTTTGTTGAGTTATGAATACATTGTGATGAAGCTTTAGTGTTGTATGGATTGTGATATATGTTGTTGGGTTGTGCATACATTGTGATGAAGCTTTCGTGTTGTATAGGTTGTGATATATTTTGTTGAGTTATGAATACATTGTTGATGAAGCTTTCGTGTTGTAGGGATTGTGATTTATGTTGTTGAGTTGTGAATACATTGTGATGAAGCTTTCGTGTTGTAGGGATTGTGATTTATGTTGTTGAGTTGTGAATACATTGTGATGAAGCTTTCGTGTTGTTTGGATTGTGATATATGTTGTTGGGTTGTGAATACATTATGATGGAGCTTTCGTGTTGTATGGATTGTGATATATGTTAATGAGTTGTGAATACATTGTGATGAAGTTTTCGTGTTGTATGGATTGTGATATATGTTAATGAGTTGTGAATACAGTGTGATGAAGCTTTCGCGTTGTATGGATTGTGATATATGTTGTTGAGTTGTGAATACACTGTGATGAAGCTTTCGTGTTGTATGGATTGTTGTGAATACATTATGATGAAGCTTTCGTGTTGTAGGGATTGTGATTTATGTTGTTGAGTTGTGAATACATTGTGATGAAGCTTTCGTGTTGTGTAGATTGTGATATATTTTGTTGAGTTATGAATACATTGTTGATGAAGCTTTCGTGTTGTAGGGATTGTGATTTATGTTGTTGAGTTGTGAATACATTGTGATGAAGCTTTCGAGTTGTATAGATTGTGATATATTTTGTTGAGTTATGAATACATTGTGATGAAGCTTTAGTGTTGTATGGATTGTGATATATGTTGTTGGGCTTCTTTTTCAGAAATGTCTCAGGAAAATTTACACCTGCCCCTCAGTCGACAGAATGTTATGATGATATATGTTAATGAGTTGTGAATACATTGTGATGAAGCTTACGTGTTGTATGGATTGTGATATATGTTGTTGAGTTGTGAATACACTGTGATGAAGCTTTCGTGTTGTATGGATTGTTGTGAATACATTATGATGAAGCTTTCGTGTTGTATGGATTGTGAGATATGTTGTTGAGTTGTGAATACATTGTGATGAAGCTTTCGTGTTGTGTAGATTGTGATATATTTTGTTGAGTTATGAATACATTGTGATGAAGCTTTAGTGTTGTATGGATTGTGATATATGTTGTTGGGTTGTGCATACATTGTGATGAAGCTTTCGTGTTGTATAGATTGTGATATATTTTGATGAGTTATGAATACATTGTGATGAAGCTTTCGTGTTGTTTGGATTGTGATATATGTTGTTGGGTTGTGAATAGATTGTGATGAAGCTTTCGTGTTGTATAGATTGTGATATATGTTGTTGGGTTTCTTTTTCAGAAATGTCTCAGGAAACTTTACACCTGCCCCTCAGTCGACAGAATGTTATGATGATATATGTTAATGAGTTGTGAATACATTGTGATGAAGTTTTCGTGTTGTATGGATTGTGATATATGTTGTTGAGTTGTGAATACACTGTGATGAAGCTTTCGTGTTGTATGGATTGTGGTATATGTTGTTGAGTTGTGAATACATTGTGATGAAGCTTTCGTGTTGTTTGGATTGTGATATATGTTGTTGGGTTGTGAATACATTGTGATGAAGCTTTCGTGTTGTATAGATTGTGATATATTTTGTTGAGTTATGAATACATTGTGATGAAGCTTTCGTGTTGTATGGATTGTGATATATGTTGTTGGGTTTCTTTTTCAGAAATGTCTCAGGAAAATTTACACCTGCCCCTCAGTCGACAGAATGTTATGACACAAGTGGTCACAATTATAGAAGAGAATATTCCAGAGGTAAGAGCTGTTAGTCTTGGAAAATTTAGCAATGACAATGTTTATTTCTAAAACACCTTGCTGTATCCTGACACACATATAGATATCCGTAGGTGTATAATTAAAGGCACCTGTGTAACTAAATCACTGACTATATGCTACAACATGTACTGACAAGCTGCTAGCTTTATATTTAAAGTTCGAAAATGACAACTGTTCAGGTTCATAGATACATACCTGACAAAGGCTACCAAATGGTTATTGTGCAGGATTGATGTAAGACATTCCAAGCTCCAAAAAATCTGAAAGTTGACAAGCAAAACCTGAGACCCAGGACAGGAATACCCCTTATTATTTATCTCGATGTCAGCATCAAATATAAAAATGTGCTATAACTATTTATTACTTTGCCAGTGAAATATCAGATTCTATCAACTTGATAAAACTGATATCTTTCACACTGTGAAAAAACCACTTTTTAGTATTGACCAATCATAACGGTATCTTCTATTCGCTGCATTCAAAGGCAACAATATTTTGTTCAGAATCAAATGAAGCGACGGTAGAATAAGTGGTTGTTTTGGTAAATTTTTGGTACACAAACTTAAGTATTTACATATATATACCAGTAATGACATTTTTATAAGCAACCATACCAGAAAATAGCAGAAAATATCGAAATTGCGTTGAGAATCCCATTCAAAATGGCACGCAGCCTTGTTGTCAAGCGAGACGTCATTAGCATATGGCGCTAATAATTATGCTTCTGATTCCTGCCCTTTTTTAATGCATTACATTTTTCATGTTTTATGCTTTAAAAATGTAATAAATAGAACATATGAAAACTACAGTATAGGCTATAATAATTCACTGACTTTTAAATTTCATTGTATGTTTTCAGTTGGAGGGAATTGATGTCAGCAATAATCGACTGATATCATTGGAACATCTGGCGAAATTGACAAAGATTTGTCCAAATATTGTCAGAGTCAACCTTGGCAAGAATAGTGTAAGGAAATATTTTGTTGTCTCATCAAAAACAAGTTCATTTGATTAAATTACTATTTACAGTTTATGGAGTCACATGCTACTGTTTTATCTCTTGGTTTAAAATCCAATGGAAATGGCTCATTTGGTATCATTTTCTTTTGCAATACAGTAAAATTGATCTATATGCATGGGTAAATATTGCATTGGTAAGAAAAAAACCCAGACTTTATATATTAAATATCTGCATGTCATTTGTATAGCATGTATATATATATGCACACAGTTACAGCATAATTTACCTTTATACCTACAGGTGCGCTATCTGGATGAACTGGACAAAATCAAAGATTGGAAAGTCGTGGAGCTGGTGCTGGACGGGAATGAGCTCTGTGATAAGTTTGAAGACCAAGCTGCATATGTTAGGTAATAGCTGACCCAGACACTGATGACCGGGGCTCGCTTGACCGGGGCATGCTTGGTCTCTGGAGGCTGTTGGTAAGGTAGTGTGGTCAGGTGGCGTAGCTCCTGGCGCGGATAGTTATGGATGGTCAGAGCTTGCACTGACCGATGCAAGATGTAGGTGATGTAGATTAAATTTGATGGTCAAAGGTGGGAAGGAATTGCCACTGCATAGAAGTAGATGTATTTAAAGAATCCCCACTAATACAGTTACCAAACCAGAGAAATTAATGATAATTTTAGTATACTTGTTCTTAGCAAAGCATAAATCTGGTAAGAAATTGAAGTTTTAATTGGTATATATCATTTTCTACATGCATGCTTAATTAAGCTGTTCTCTGCCACTGATTCAATATTTTGCAAATACATGAAGAGTTCTACATTTGTGAGGCACTAAACCAAATTGTTGTCATGTGTTGACAAGGATTGAAATATTACAGATTGAAATATATGAGTTTATAAATATACAAGATTTAAAAAATTCTGTGTAGTTAAAATGCAAATTATGTTAAAGTTGGTTTTAGATCGTGTTTTCTTTAAACAGTCATTATTGTCTGGTATCGTGTGAACACATGCACAACTATAGGTATTCTGTAGATGAAACCATATTCATGTCAAACTATGTGGAGGAAATGCCAAAAGTATCAAGTTGAATTTGTTTGATGTAAATGAACAAGCAAAGATGCATGTAAATATCTGTGCAGGGTAAGAGTTAAGTATTTGCTATTACCAAGGGAGGGGGTGATAGACTTACCTACATGGCTGTATGTTGTGAGAATATCTTTCTGATTCAATCACACTGCTTTGAAATCAAATCTGATTGGAGTGGAGACCTTATTCGTTCAAGTCGATCAACATTTTCAATTAGAGTGGAAAAAGGAGAGCTGTGTTTAGATTATAATGAGGATTTGAAATTTTGGTTTAAAAAAAGTAAGATCAAATGCAGTTACTTTTGCAAACCAGAATTTTTAATAGATTTATTTAAAAGATTACATTGGTTACATTTCAAACATTATCTAAACAATGGAGGCACATGATAAAGTGTTTATTATATCACAGCCATAATATTGATATCTTTCATATGGTTTCATTTTCATTTAGGCCCCATGCGTATAGCATATTCTTAAATCAATATGACATCAGCTTTGATCAGGATAAAATATGTGCTAATTCTACATTGTCATTTTTCTGGCATTTCTTGCAGCATCCATTGTCATTCCTTGCGACATCAGTTGCCTTTCTTTTCAATTACTTTTACAAATATGGTTGTCATTCCACTTGATTAAAATTGTTATTTCTTTTGATCAGTTGCCTTTCCTTGCAATTATGGTTTAATTTCTTTTGCACTCTGAACAGTTGTCTAATAACTGTTGTCTTTTCTTGCTAGCAATAACATGGATATATTTTGATCTATACTGTTTTATATAATCTATTATCTATGCCTGACAGAGGTCACCGTGGCCTTCTTTACACCACAGTAGTGTGTTCTGCCTGTCGAAAGTCTTTGTGTATGCAAAACTCTTGAATATTTTTAAAGTTACCTTTACCAGCTATAGTAACAGACAGTTGAGCTATAGAAATTTGTGTTTAATCTCTAAAAAAGATCATTTTCTTTAAAATCATTCCTCTGCCACCTATTACTAATCTGTTCAAACTGCCCCTTATTCATCAGATATTTTGTTTAATCAAAAGGAAATGTATTTATTTGACTGATTTGGGTGATTGAAAATTATGAAACAATTTCAACTGAAAGAACTACTACACTGTTGGTAAATGATAAGTATCAAATAATATCTTCTTTCAAGAAAACAAAAAAAATGAATGTGTTACATCACAGGTACCACACATTTACAATTGACTTATTTTGGTAAAAACAAGTTGGTAAAAACTTCACTATGAAAAAAACAGTAAGGTTTTATATTTATATTGAAACAAATATAAAGCTGAAGAACGGTGTGTTTTGAGTGTGTATCAAGTTGGAGAATATTGTAGACATACTACAATTGCCAGAGATATCTAATGTAGTGATATATCTCAGAAAAACAGAAGTGAACATTCTTACTACTGAAATTTGACAGTCAAGACAGAATGTTTACATCAGATTCTCTGCTTATCTTTCTTATATTCAAATCGAAGTAAACATAGTGTTCTAAAATGATGTTTTATTCATTTATTCATATTTGTTCTTAGATTTAACATGTATGAATTGTTGTGCTTGTACTACTAGTATTCTCCAGCTTGGTGATCCCTCAGCAAGGAGTTATCTCCCTTTAATGAGAAGGCTCTTGTGAGAATGGAGGTGCCTTGTGACACAGGTCTGTTGCCGATGACGGGTAAGATCTTCCAAAGGGAGGCAACCTAGGACAGGGGCAGCTGGCACTCGGCTTCACAGCAGCAGTTTGGCCATATGTTGACCATGAAAACCATGGCTACATGGCAGAGCTATTCAGAGTTCCTGACCCAGTACTTAAGCACTCTTTCTCTTAGGAGTTAGCAGTACATTACACTTATAGACGTCTGCTTTTCCTTCATCATAGACTATTTAGGAGACTGTTTTGCCTTTTGTTACTGAGCAGTGTATTGCTCTTGAACCAGTATTGTCTAGATTGTTATGTTTCCTGTAGGTAGATGATATTCTATTGGATCTGTGATTAGTGTTTTAGGAATCTCTCAATATCAGTCATTAGTTAGTTAGACCTGGTTATAGTGATAGGGGCCAGATTGGTCAATCATCAATAGTTTAATCACACACATATAGCTTTAACTCCTTAGGATCCCCTTTACAGAAATATCAGGCTTCAGTATTAGATCAGGAAGAAATAATTCAAACTGAAAACTGCTTGGATTTACTGCTGTCGATAATGAACCCTCCAGAGAGCAAACTTCTCAGAAACAGTGATGTATAACACACTGTAGATATACCTTGGTACCACACAATATGTTTTTTTGTCACTGTTGAACAAACTCATTTTAAATAGTCCATATACATTTCCTATTGATTATTCAAAATTCATGTTTTCAAAAACCCTTGTTTGCAATTTCAATTTCCATTTTCAGAAAATCTTTAATATGCTAATCTCTTGTGGTCTCTTTCTCATGTGGCACAATCTGATGTCCAGCTTCTTTGTTGCACTGATACTTAGTAAAGTTTACTGTATCTATCCCTGTGATAAGTTTACTATATCTAGCCCTATTTGTCTTGGTTTCTCTGCTATATTATGTTGGATGGTCATCCTTGGCTGCCTTCCTTCTTCTTGATATAGCCTATCGATACAACTAGGCATTTCCAGCAAGTTATTAGAGAGTTATAAATAGGTATTTCCAGTGAAAATACTAGCAAATTAAAAAAGTTTGTCTTGTCATAGAATGATAAAAATAGAAATACACTGAAAAAATCTAACATCATTTTCACAAACCCTTTCCCACAAAAAAATAAAAGATGTGTGCCTCCCTTGTTTTGTGTAATCATATCTTGTTCACTAAAACATTTCATCAAGATGTTTACCTCTAGATGGTAACTTGTGGAGGTTTATCGCTAGCTGTCAGCATCAAGATGTTTACCCCTAGATGGTAACTTGTAGAGGTTTATCTCTAGAGGTTTCAACAAATACTGTATTGCCTTTGATTTGAAAAGTTCAAACTTTCAGAGTTTTATTTCTGGAACAAATTTCTGTGGTTTAAATTTCATGCTACACAGATAATTATGACATGTGTTCCCAACTTCTTCTATATTAGAAAGGCAACACATTCATTTTTTTCTGTATTTTTTCTGACTGTGAATATAGCAGAAATGAAATCTCCACAAATATAAGGGCTGTCCAGCATTCAGGTTTGGTTTCAGGTTTGGCTTAATTAAAATAATTTTCCTTAATAATAATATCATGTTTGGATGGATTCAAATGTGACACAACACTTACAGTGCAAAAGGATTATTAAACCTTTCACCCCTCTGTAACTTAAAGTAGATTCTACCATGCATTAATCTGGACGAGTCCATTATAGTCTACAGTGGTGAAAGGGTTAAGGTCAATTTTTATTTTACATCCAAAAATGAATACAAACTCGGTCAGATTGAAAGTAAACATTGAACATGGCTTACCTAGTTAGACCTTATAACCTGCTAGTGGCCTTTCTTGACTGTTGCCTTGTACAGATATTATGTGAATTTTATTATGTGTGAAGTATTTCTTTGTAACGTTTGATGGTATATTCAAGTATAATTACAGAAATACTTTTTGGAATTGTCCAAAAGTAGAAATAAACTGAATGCAGTTAGCAAATAGAAAAACTCCATCTCTTTTGGCTCCTAAAAGATAAAACGTTCGCATTAATCAATTTTGTCTCCTAAACTGGACCAGTGTTTCGTAATGGGTTTAGTTTCATCTTCAAAATGTCACAAGGGTTTTGCATGATGAAATTCGGCATTTGTTGATCTGGAGACAAGTACTGTACAGACTCCGTATTCTCATTAGGTTTACATATACAAAACTCTTTATTCAAATATCTGAAACTTTTAACTTCTGAACTTTTTATCAGGGTTTTCAGTTTACCCTTGAATTTTATCAATTTCAGAAATCAAATAAACCTTTCCCTGAATTCTTATGGGTCAAACATTTCCATAGGGAGTCAAAAACATATTCTCAAGGGTCTTCTGAAAGCCCTGAGTTAGCTCTTCACTTGTTTTGTTTTGACAAAAGAAAAAACCCAGTTGCAAAACAAGGTATTTTTCCCCACAATTGATTGCTTTGTCCATCAAAGAGAATACATTTGTCCATTATACCGATAGATTTTATGTTGCAGTGCTGTACGGAAGAAATTTCCAAAGGTTATGAAGTTGGTAAGAGTTTAATCTTTTCTGTAATATATCCAGTTGAGTAGGATCTTGTTTTGTGATTTTGGTAAAATTTTCTTGAGCTCCGCTAGTCAAAGCAATGATTAAAATAAATAACTATTTATAACATATTGCGATGGTTTTCAGTTTTAGGGACACAAGATGAGTTTGTTTATTACATTCCAAACAATTCTAACGAAGTTGTTTGTGAAATGAGGATGGACTTAGTGGTATGATGGTGTTTTTTAGTGGACCTTGAAAATGCTTTTATGTTAAGACATGTATCAACATTTACTCTGAAAATGTTAAATGCATTAAGATGTAGACAAAGTGCTTGTTCCACTTTAAAACACTGTCAATGTACTGCAAATTGACTTACAAATATTTTAGTTGTAAAAAGAAGCTCCTATTAAGATTAAATGATTTAAATGATAGTGAATTGTTCATTGTTTTAAGATACTTCTAGTAATAAAAATCTTTGATATCTTTTTATACGGCCGTCAAATTTGACAGGAGTATTATGGTATGGGTTCATCCGTCCATCCGTACGGCATCAACTTTTGTTTGTCCATCAATCTCCTCCTACATTTTTCTTTGAAACATAATCATGATATGAAGTTGTGTCTCCCTTAACAGAATTTGGATTCAACAATTTTTGAAAAAGTTATTGCCATTTGTTCATTTCAGTATTTGATTTTTGTCCGGCAATTTCCTCCTACATTTTTCAACGGATCTCTTTGAAACTTGGTATACATTATCATTATGATATGAAGTTGTGTTTCACTTAAAAGAACTTTGATTCAACAATTTTTGCAAAAGTTATTGCCTTTTGTTCATTTCAGTATTTGATTTTTTATCCGGAGATTTTTTATAACATGTCAGCTAACCACTCTTAGAATGATGCAGATCTTATTTCAATGTAAGAAAGTATATAACACTTTATGGCATTCGACGGGCGTATATTGTTCCGCCCCGCGGTACTCTTGTTGATAGAATGATGATACATGGTATTACTAGATGATTGCAAATTATTATGAATAGTTTGGGTGGCAATTCAGCATTGGTACTCCCAGTACTGGATATGTATTTGACACTTATCTTGAGGGATTATTAACATACTTGAATTGTCATTTTAATAGGATGGACATGACCTTCCACCCCCGATAACCTTTGACCTTGAGACAAGTACAGATTTACCTGTCACTAAAGTAAGTGCGACATTGTATTATGTAATTGCTTGATGTATATCATATATTCAGTTCAGGATATCGATTTGACTGAAGATTGATGAATATTATAAATCTATTAATCTGCCTTGCATGTGTAGTAATTTATGATAATCTAAATGCACTTTGAAAACAAGAGGCCCAGAGGGCCTATATCGCTCACCTGAATATAATTAAAGTAATTGGTATGAAGTAAAGATATAGCACTCCATGGTAGGTGCTGTAAGTACATATGAAATTTCAGAAAGATCCATCCAGTACTTGAGATATAAAGAACAAACTTCAAACAGAGCCCCACCTCTATGCCCCTACGGGGTCATACCCACCAATTATACAAAATTGAGTCACCGTCACCCAAGGATGCTCCACACTAAATAAGGATAAAATCAGAGAAGGATTTAAAGGTTTTACCTCTATTTCTCCTATTGGGCCCCGCCCTTCTGCCCCCCTCGGAGACCACACCTACTGCTAATACAAAATTGAGTCCCTTTGCCCCAAGGACGCTCCAGACTAAATTAGGATAAAATCCTGTAATCCCTATGGTAGAAGAGGATTTTAAAGGTTTTACCTCTATATTCCCTATTGGGCCCCGCATCTGTGAGATTTATGTCTATTTCCCCTATTTGGCCCCACCCCTCAGGTCCCAGGGGGGCCACACCCACCATTTATACAAAATTGGTTCCCCTTTACCCAAGGGTGTTCCACACCAAATATGGACCAAATCCTTTCATTCCTACAGAAGAATAAGGATTTTAAAGAATAATTTGCTATGTTTCCCCTATTGGGCTCCGCCCATCAGGCCCCTGGGGAGCCAGACCCATGGTTCATAAAAAATTGGATCCCCACTACTCAAGGGTGCTCCACACTAAATATGGACCAAATCCTTTCATTCTTACAGAAGAAGAAGAATTTTAAAGAATAATTTGCTATGTTTCCTCTACTGGGCTCCGCCCATCAGGCCCCTGGGGAGCCAGACCCATGGTTTATACAGAATTGGTTCCCCACTACCCAAGGGTGCTCCACACCAAGTATGGACCAAATCCTTTCATTCCTACAGAAGAAGGTTTTCAAGAATTTGCTATATTTCCCCTATTGGGCCCCACTCCTCAGCCCCCAGGAGGGCCAGACCCACGATTTATACAAACTTTGTTCCCCTTCCCCCAAGGATGCTTCGACCAAATATGGACTAAATCCTTTCATTCCTACAGAAGAAGATGGATTTTAAAGAATAATTTGCTGTGTTTCCCCTATTGGGCGCCGCCCATCAGGCCCCTGGGGAGCCAGACCAACCATTTATATAAACTTTCTTCCCCTTCCCCCAAGGATGCTTCTGACCAAATATGAAACAAATCCTTTCATTTCTACAGAAGAAGAATGATTTTAAAGAAGAATTTGCTATATTTCCTCTATTTGGCCCTGCCCCTCAGGCCCCTGGGGGGCCAGACCCACCATTTATACAAAATTAGTTCTTCTTCACCCAAGGATGCTCCACACCAAATTTTGTTAAAATCCGCTCAGTGGTTCATGACTAGTAGTGTAAAGTTGACGGCACTGGACGCCGAACGCTGCGGTATGGCATAAGCTCACCTGGTCCGAAGAAAATGTTGGATCTTTTGTAAAATTTAGCAGGATTATGATATATGATATTTGATACTTTATGTCAGTGGTGGCTCCAGGCATTCGTACATTCAATGATTCATATACATTTTGCTAACTGTACTTTTACTTCTTGCTGTGCAGGGAAGCTTTTTCTTGAATACAGAGATCCAGGACATTTTGGTGAAATTCCTAAAGGAGTTTTTTACGATATATGACTCTGACAATCGTCAGTCATTAACAGCTGCCTACCAGGAAGAGGTAAGTTAATTGAGAAGAGCACCGTGACCATTTTGAACTGACACATTTTAAGCTGGATTAAAGAATGTAACATTAGAAATATCAAATGAATTCTTTTATCTCAATAGAAAATAATGTTATGCCAGGGTATTAAAATGTATTGAATACAGTCCAACTTCATTATTAGCTCACCTGGCCTGAAGGGCCAAGCATATGGCATGGTGCGGCAGCCGTCATCCGTCTGTCTGGCGTCAACTTTTTACTTTAAACAACTTCTTCTCAATAACCAAGAGGCCCAGGGTGATGATATTTGGCATGTAGCATGCTGGGATGAAGGGCTACCAATTTTGTTCAGATGAATGACCTTGACCCACTTCCAAGGTCACAGGGGTCAGATGTCTTAAAATCTTCAAACGACTTCTCCTCAATAACCGAAAGGCCCAGGGTACTGATAGTGTGCGTGTAGCATGCTGGGATGAAGGGCTACAAAGTTTATTAAAATGTATGACCTTGACCAATTTTCAAGGTCACTGGGGTGAGATATCTTAAAATCTTCAAACGACTTCACCTCAATAACCAAAAGGCCCAGGGTACTGATAGTGGGCCCGTAGCATGCTGGGATGAAGGGCTACCAAGTTTGCTCAAATGAATGTTCTTGACCCACTTTCAACCTTATGTCCTTGTTCGACATTCAAGGTCACAGGTGTCATGTGTTTAAATCTTTTAATAGGTTCTTCTGAATCAAACGCTGATATTCTGCCTGTTGCTGTATTTAAGTCCACTTTTAAGATTACAAGTGTGAAATTAATACCAGGTGAGCGATGCAGGCCCATTGGGCTCCTCGTTAATTATAGTTAAGTCATTGTAAACATAAAAAGTCCAACTTCCTGATGTATCCTGTTTTAAAATCTATAAAGGTAAACTACCTTGGAATCATCACGTTGACTAAGATGACAATGAAGTTTTTATTTTGTTTATAACAACTTTTGTTGTGAGTTAAGAGTTGTTTATTTTGAACAAATTGAAAACTTACTCCCAACTTAAGAAAGGATTTAATTGTTTCATATTTTTAGCATATTCTACAGATGTCTTTTGTAAAGGTATAATATTTATTTTTTCAGGCCATCTTTTCCTTGTCAGCTTCCAAAAATAATTCTACAGACCACTGGTGAGTAAATTAAGACTTAAAAGTGCTATACTTACCAACTGTTGTAACTTATTGTGATAGACCACTGGTTTTTCTGGCTCAATTTATACAAATAACAAAAGTCTAATAGCACAAATATAATAAAAAAAAGTCTTAATAGCACAAATATTATAACAAAAGTCTAATAGCACAAATATAATAACAAAAGTCTAATAGCACAAATATTATAACAAAAGTCTAATAGCACAAATAATATAAGAAAAGTCTAATAGCACAAATATTATAAGAAAAGTTTAATAGCACAAATGTTATAAGAAAGTTTAATAGCACAAATATTATAACAAAAGTCCAATAGCACAAATGTTATAAGAAAAGTCTAATAGCACAAATATCATAAGAAAAGTCTTATAGCACAAATGTTAAAAGAAAAATCTAATAGCACAAATATTATAAGAAAAGTATAATAGCACAAATATTATAAGAAAAGTTTAATAGCACAAATGTTATTAGAAAAGTCTAATAGCACAAATATTATAAGAAAAGTCTAATAGCACAAATGTTATAAGAAAAGTCTAATAGCACAAATTTTAAAACTTATGACAAAAGTCTAATAGCACAAATATTATTGGAAAACAAGCTAAAATGAAATCTGTTTATTTCATTTTACATAATGTTCATCTAGTATTTCAACCATGGTGCGTGCGGTCCTGTTTAAATTTTCAGCTGTTTTAACCAAAACAAATTAATTTGACTGGGTGGTTGCATTCGGGTATACATATTGTCGTCATCCTGTAAACCTTACATATTTGTATGATTGCAGAGACTGATAAAACCACGGTGTTTTAATCGAGTATATAACGACATTACAATATGAAGTAACTAGTAACAAAAATGTCCTAATAACCTATATTTTCACCAGTAAAACAATCTATTCCATTCTTATTACATGACTTTCTTTTGTAACAGGCAAGCAGGTTTGCAGATATACTTTCCTGAAAGCAGAAATTTGCTGCGGAAATCACGAGACCCAAGTAAGAAAGTGCTGAGTTTTAATGAATCTTTGAGACAGAAATTAATTGAGCAGAATGATTTGTTGAAGTTGCTATTGCCTATGTGATTTAATAATGAACCAAATTTCTAATCAAGTGGAATAACAATATCAGTCTATTGTGTGATTGTGTCTGAACCTGTAAATAAAGTTAGTTTTCATGAACTCTCATTTTTCACACTTTTTCTTCAAAACCCGTTTTTTCTCGTTAAGTAATCAAAAACAGGTACACATCATTTGAAATCAATATTCATGAGATTTTTAATCAAATTCTACTCTCTTTTTAAATTCATGTGAAAATATATATTTTGATTGGCCTGTGAATAATACTTTAATGCAATATTTTCAAAAAAGCTTAACTTTGGTACAATGTATACTTCCATTTTCTCCAGGTCAGAAGCAACGAGTATTGATGCGAGGAAAACTGAACGTCGTATCTAAGCTGTGCCTGCTACCAAAGACTACACATGACTACAACTCGTTTGTGGTGGATGTTGACCATGCCTCTGTAAGTTTAAACAATGTAGGCTTGCCAGGTCCAGATCTTACCTGGTGGGGCAACACTGCAACCTTTTGGCCAGCCTTTATCCCATTTGTCCAATGCCTTTTTTCAAAAAATTTAATCATCTAAAAATTACAGAGGTATTTGTGAATTTCTTGCCTAAAGATTGTGAGAAAGTTTTGAGCCATATACAGGTATATGTGATTGATTTACTTACAGTTCATATGTTTTCAAGCACAAAATTTGTTTTGAACTGCAGGTTTAAGTCAGACTTTGAGAAAAAGGGGTATCTTTTTGCAATACTTTACTGTGTCAAAGTGTTATCATACATATACTTGCATTATATTCTATGGACTAGATTCCAACTGAAACAATATTTTATCTACAAGCGTGATTTAAACTCATAACATATCATTTTCAAGAGGGGTTATTTTCTGTTAAGAATAACCACATTTCCATATTGGCTTCCAGTTTGCTGTCAGTTCTTAAAATCAGTGTAAGGGCTGTTCCAAAATTAACTATAGGGGAGGGGTGGGAGACACTGTTTTAGAGATCCCACCACCCATAAAATAATAAAAGTTATTTAATATAAGGAAAGGAAGCTAGGTTGTATCCCCATAACCCATAATGTATTAATACCGGTGCCTCGTCCATACAATAAATGATGGAATAGCCCTAAGGAAAATAAATTATCTAGTTATTTATTATTGAAATTACAAAGTAACTGAAAAAAAATATATTGTGTTTTCAGCAAACCCTCCTCAGCTTCACAGTGACAGGGGTATTCAAGGAATGTAAGTGAATGATGTGTTGTTCAAGAATGAAACTCAAAGGATGAACAAAATCAGAATTGAATATCTGCTAATTCGTTGATTTTAATTTGTCTTTCCTTAAGTGAGGTAAAATGAAATCAGCTTATTATTTTCATTCAACAGATTAAATTCACACATATGTTCATTGTTTGCTTTAATATGAATATTAAAAAAGAATTCAGGTGTTACAAAGTGAATTTCTTGGTAATGTATCATTTTAAAGATTTAACATCTGGTTGTTGATGTACAAATGAAGGGACCTACTATTAAATATATACTTAATGTTTTCTTTCAAATTCCTATTGAAAGTTTATCTGTGACACACTTTTTAGTTAGATAACTAAGATTGATAAGATTGATTTGGTTGATGTTGTAGCTGAGGAACGCTCTGATCGACAGCCTGTGAGGGCGTTCAGTCGACGGTTTATAGCCCTCCCCAGAGGTCAGGGGTAAGTGAGATTTTAATTTACTTAGCAGTAAACAGGAGGGTCTTGTTTATTACCTAATGTTTGTCATTGAATGTTCAGAACCAAGGATTATCCAACATTTTTAGACTCTGGTATGAGCAAAGTTTAGCACTGAAAAACACTTTCATATCCAGATTGACATAAGACCAAATCGTGTTGACAAGTTATTAATTTAGAGCAGATCATTATTCATTGCAATCAATGAAGATTATTTTAAATCCTTAATTTAGTAAAAACTAGTGAAGTGTTTCTGTAGTTTTCATGGAAAAGTTTTGCTTCTTTCTCTAAAATTATCTTGAAATAGGACAAGAGGCCCAATGGGCCTGCATCACTCACCTGGTATTAATCTCACACTTGTAATCTTAATAGTGGACTAAATAACAGCTACAGGCAGAATATCAGTGTTTGATTCAGAAGAACCTATTAAAAGATTTAAACATATGACGCCTGTGACCTTGAATGTCGAACAAGGACATTAAGTTGAAAGTTGGTCAAGGTCATTCATTCGAACAAACTAGGAAGCCCTTCATCCCAGCATGCTACAGGCCCAATATCAGTACTCTGGGCCTTTTGGTTATTGAGAAGAAGTCGTTTGAAGATTTTAAGACATTTGGCCCCTGTGACATTGGAAGTGGGTCAAGGTCATTCATTTGAACAAACTTGGTAGCCCTTCATCCCAGCATGCTACTGGCCAAATATCATCAGCCTGGGCCTCTTGGTTATTGAGAAGAAGTTGTTAAAAGTAAAAAGTTGACGCCGGACAGCCGCCGGACGCCGCACCATGCCATAAGCTCACTTGGCCCTTTGGGCCAGGTGAGCTAAAAAATTGTCATGGAAATGCTTCATACATTATTTGTCTTCCTTGACAGTATGGTGATCGCGAATGACATGTTGATGGTGACAAATGCTTCCCCCAGCCAAGCACAGGTAAGTTGTTACAAGCTGCCAACAAACTGTCCTCTAGTATAATGATTCTATCTAGATTAGACGGAAAGAGATCTTCAAGAAATAGTGCCAATCAATAGTTCTATGTGTATGATATTTTCTTATGTGAAACAAGGGAACTCATGAGGAAGCTTTTGGAGTATTTTCTCAGCAACATCAGGAGAATGTTAAGTATACAAGCAGAAGCTACCCAATTCTAGATTTTGACCATTGACCATGTTAATCTAATGAAGAGTAGGTGTCTTGTCATAATTCATTTCATTTCATCAATTTTCATTCAAGATGGTATATGTCATAATTCCTGCCTTTAATGGTTACAAAAAGATAAGTAAATAAGGGGTAATGATATATAGCAGGTGAGAGATTCAGAAATGGTTTCATAAATGATTTTCAGGCCGCCTTCAAGAACCCCGCCCCGACTCCCTCATCGAGTCCTGTGCCTGACACGACTCCTGCTGCCCCCTTTCACCAGGCAGGGCCTAGCCTTACCCCTGAGCAGCAACAGATGGTCCAGACCTTTTCTGCACAGTCACAGATGAATTTGGATTTTTCAGCCAAGTAAGTGAACAATCATGATACGACTTCATATTCTGTCAGTTCTTGTCATACACCACCAAAATCCATATCATATAATTTGAATTAATCTTAAATTTTTCACCAAGTCTAACTTCTTATTATCCAGGAATTTACTCATATTGGTATTTATTGGCTCACCTGGCCCGAAGGGCCATGTGAGCTTATGCCGTACTGCGGCGTCCGTCGTTCGTCCGTCAACTTTTTCTTTTGAACGACTTCTGAAGAAGAACTGTAGGACCTAGGGTCATGATATTTGGTCAGTAGGTACCTGGGATGGAGTGCTATAAAGTTTCCTCATTAAAATGACCTTGACCTACTTTCAAGGTCACAGCGGTCAAATATGTTAAACATTTCAAACAACAATATCCTAAGAACCATATGAACTAGAGTTATGATACTTGGGTATTTTATGTAAACCAGCAGTGCATTTTTTTTTCAGTTACAGTTATGAGGTCAAAGGTCAGCTATAAATGCTAGTCGGGGGTCAAATGTCAACTTTGGTTAAAAGCTTTAACAGTCTTCTTCTCAAGTTCCATAAGGCCCAGGGTCATGATATTTGGCCAGTAAGTACCTGGGATGTGGTGCTATAAAGTTTCCTCATTAAAAAGACCTAGACCTGCTTTGAAGGTCACAGGGGTCAAATATGTTAAAAATTTCAAACAACAATATCCTAAGAACCATTTGAACTAGAGTCATAATACTTGGGTATGTTATGTAGACCAGCAGTTCGAATATTTTTCTAGTTACAATTATGAGGTCAAAGGTCAACTATAAATGCTAGTCGGGGGTCAAATGTCAAATTTGGTTAAAAGCTTTAACAATCTCCTTCTCAAGTTCCATTAGGCCCAGGGTCATGATATTTAGCCAGTAGGTACCTAGGATGGAGTGCTATAAAGTTTCCTCATTAAAATTACCTTGATCTACTTTCAAGGTCACAGGGGTCAAATATGTTAAAAACTTCAAACAACAATATCCTAAGAACCATTTGGACTAGTCAAGATACTTAGGTTTGTTATGTAGACCAGCTGTGTGAATTGTTTTCTTCATTACAGTAATGAGGTCAAAGATCAACTTTAAGTGCATATCGGGATTCAAATGTCAACTTGGGTTGAAAGCTTTAAAATTAAAATTTTAAGTTTCAAACAACAGTATCTTCAGAACCGTCAGAACCGTTTAAGAGATGTTAAAATGTCTTGTGTTCTAGTTACCAAACGGTCTAAAGTTACCTATATGTCAGTTGCATGTAACAAAAGAAACAGGTGAGCGATACAGGCCCTCTGGGCCTCTTGTTTAATATAAATTCTCATCAGAATTCATTTATAAACTAGGAAACATATTTGTGTCTTTAATAGTGTTCTATTATTGTTCTGTGACATACTTATCATTCTGTGATGAACCTACCGAGCTAGTTTTTAGGTCACCTGAGACAAAGTCTCAAGTGACCTATATTGCGATCGCCTTTTGTCCGTCGTCGTCCGTCGTGCACCCGTAAACAATTAACCTTTTCGACTTCTTCTCCAAAACCCCTGAACCAATTTCAATGAAATTTTGCAGGGACCTTCCATGGACAAAGGTCAACAAAATTAGTGGCCGGTTTAGTCCCAAGCCCCCAGGGGCCTGAGGGACAGGGCCAAAAAGGGTAAAATTTACTAAAATTTCAAAAATCTTCTTCTCAAGACCCAGATATAGTAGAATCAAATACTCTTCATAGATGGAAGGGTCTTAAGGTGCTTTACCAAAATTGTGAATTTCATGACCCTGGGGTCTCACGTTTCCCCCTGGGGAGGGGGTAAACTTTACTATAGTTTATATAGGGAA